TTGAGTTCCCCCCCCCCTTCCGCGCGAATCGCGGAAGCTTTGACGTTTCATTAAATTATTAGAGAAAGAAGACGATTCTTTGTACCGTCCTCGACTCTTTATCCTTGTCTGAATTGAGTGCCCCCCCCCCCTCCCGCGCGAAGCGCAGAAGCTTTGACGTTTCATTAAATTATTAGAGAAAGAAGACGATTCGTAACTCTTAATCCTTGTCTGAATTGAGTTCCCCCCCCCCCTCCCGCGCGAAGCGCGGAAGCTTTGTCGTTTCATTAAATTATAAGGGGAAAGGAGACGATTCTTTGTACCATTCTCGACTCTTAATCCTTGTCTGTATTCAGTTTTTCCCCGCCCGCGCGTAGCGCGTAAGCTTTGACGGTTCATTACATTATTAGAGGAAGAAGACTAATCGTTGTACCATTCTCGTCTCTTAATCCTTGTTTGAAATCAGTTTTCCCCCTCCCGCGCGAAGCGCGGAAGCTTTGACGTTTCATTGAATTATTAGAGAAAGAAGATGATTCGTTGTTCCATTCTCGACTCTAAATCCTTGGCTGAATTCAGTTTTTCCCCGCCTGCGCGTAGCGCGTAAACTTCTGACGTTTCATTAAATTATTAGACAAAGAAGACGATTCGTTTTACCATTCCTTGTCTGATTTCAGTTGCCCCCCCTCCCGAGCGAAGCGCGGAAGCTTTGACATTACATTAAATTATTAGAGAAAGAAGACGATTTGTTGTACCGTACTCGACTTGTCAGAATTTTTTTTTTCTTTGTCTGCTCCTTTTTCGTCCTATGTCCTCTTCCTGCCCCTACCGCCCCTGGCTACGCGCCTGCTTTAAAAGGAAAATGAAACAATCATGATTGTGATAGCACACAATTAGGTTAGTAGAAATGAAAGGGAGAAAAGATCTATTACACTAACCATGGATAAATCACTGCCAGGAGCGTCATATCATAGTTTTGTGTTATCGGGCGAGGGCCGGGGCGTAGCAACCAAGCAAGATTTTGCAATGTTGAAATTATGCATTATAGAAAATTCCGCTATATTTCTTTCTAGCTATATTTCTAAATTTCCTGGGGGACGTGTCACCCTATCGGGCCCAGGATTGCCGCCCCTGTCCAAGATTACTACCAACATGAGTCCAAATACAAACACGAGCGAGTTGGTATGAGCTGAATCCAAATGAAGGGCAAAATAAGAGTAATGAAGCGGCCAAACCGTTAATTTAAAATTTGACTGTTGAGTATATAGCTTCTATTTAAAAGACATCCAAAATATTGTGCCCTTTTCAAATTTCTCACTAAAAAGTGATGACCTTTGTAGCGCAGGGGGCTGTTTTTTACGTTTAACTTTGAATCCGCGGCTCGAGATTTTATGCGGCCGGCCTGGCCCCCTCTATTCAATAACGTTTGCCAAACCTTCTGGAATGACCCCAAATCTCCCGATTCGTCGTTACTGTCACTTAGCGCAATTTCCTTGTCTTTCCCCCTTTCTCACCGAACCCCCCCCCCCCCACCCACTTACTATAGGGTACGCACATGTATGTTCCCTCTCTTTGAAAGCACCCCTCTATCTCCGGTGTAAGTCAGTACGGGCCGGATTTTTGTGTATTACGGGCCGGACTTTGTTGCGTGAAAAGTAACTCTTTATCGGAAATTTTGGGAACACATATTCGGTCCCTCCGACCCCGGAGTGGGAGGGAGGGGGAGGGTGGGGGGGGGGGGGGAGTTGGGCTTTCTTCTTTATCTTTTCTTTTCTCTTTTCTCTTTTCTTCCTTTTTCTTTTCCCTTCTCCTTTCTTTTCTCTTCTCCTTTTTTTCTTCTCCTTTTTTTTTCTCTTCTTTTCTTCCTCTTTTTTCTTCCTTTTTTTTTGCGCCGCCAATAGGGGGGGCCGCGGCCGTTTCGCCCCCCCCCCCTGGATCCGCCACTGCAATTTGTCTATAAATTAGACATTACACGAAAATGACGAAATGTATGCATTTAAAGATAAACTTTAGTACTGGTAATGCGATTGCATTGTGAAAGAAAAGGTGTGGAAAGGATCAGAAACAGTTGATCATGTAGCATGTAAGTATTGGTGTGCACTGCAAGGTTCTGGAGTCATCAAAATCATAATAAATTTGACCGAGTCTTGGTAAAGTAACAAGCACTCACATAGAAAGCTATATAAGGGACAGCACACATGGTGTCGGGGCTAGTACTACCTTGATTTCCTTGTCTTTCTATGCTCATTACTCAGCCAGTATACATTTTCTTCCAAAATTGTTTGGCACATGTCATTTATTTGTAATCTTGAACATTCAGTGTAAGTTTCGTTTGATTCTGTGAGAATTATTTTTATTTTTTTTACCAGTAGGCCTACTGGAGTTAATCTTTAAATGAATGAAGCAAATAAGCCTCGGCTACTTCACAACATTTTGACCGGTTAAGAAGCGTGAAAGAATGAAGTTTCATACTTGTATTACCTATCGTCAGAAATCTGTTTCATTCGTAAAGAGAGAGAGAGAGAGAGAGAGAGAGAGAGAGAGAGAGGGGGATCAGAGGGGAGAGAGAGAGAGAGAAAGAAAGAGAGAGAGAGAGAGAGAGAGAGAGAGAGATGATGATGAGACAGAATGAGGGGCACGTGAATCAAGGAAGGGGAAGAAAATGAGGGGAAGAAAATGAGAGAAAGAGTAAGAAGCATGAGAGAATGAAGTTTCATACTTGCACTAGCTATCGTCAGAAATCTGTTTCTTCCGCAAGGTGTTTTAGGGCAATTCAATTATAGAGAGTGAAAGAGAGAAAGCGAGAGATAGAGAGACAGAGAGAGAATGAGAGAGAGAGAGAGAGAGAGATGGCAAGAGGGGGAGATATATATTGAGACAGAAAGAGAGGCAGGGGATCGAGGAAGGGGAAGAAAATGAGAGAAAGAGGCTGAGCGGTAGACAGACGAGCCAAAGAAAATTAAGAGGGAGAGTCAGAAAGAGAAAAAGAGAGAGAGAGAGAGAGGGAGAGAGAGAGAGAGAGAGAAGGTGGGATGAAGGAGTTGGGAAGTGGAGATGGAAACAACAGGTAAAATGGTGAGGAGAGAGAGAAAGAGGCTTGATTTGTAATCTAACATTTGCAGTATTACTATCAAATGTGGCATTGTCCCAGCATCTCCTTGATTACAAGACATATGCATACATGTATTTGAATAAATGTTATTATTCATTTAAGATGATCTGTCTCACTCTCTGAAGCAAAAGATACTACCAAAGCAATCAAAGCTCTCAATATCAAATCCCTTCGGCAGTCTAGTTTTATGATTGAATGAAATGCTTATCTCCGGACATCCCTTACTACACAACTACAAACAATTACAGAGAAAAATGCCAATATAGTATAGCAATGTCTTTTAATAAACTCAGCAAAAATATCAAACATTGTTTCATCACATGAGACAAAATACATTTGTACTCGCAAGCTTTTAGTACATGTATATACATGTACCTAACATAAAGTATAATCCATCATAACACTGGTGGACTGGGCATGGGGAGTATTGGGGGGGGGGGGGGGGGGGGGGGGGGTTCTCCACAGCTGCTCGACATTTTGTTTAAGGGCCATTTGAGTCAGGTTTTCAACAAAATTCAGCTCCAAAAAGATTAGCACTATTATATTGCATTGTTAGTGCAAATGGTAAAGAATTCCTTTGAAATGACTCCTAGCTATGAACATATATATGGTTTTAGATTTCATACTGAAATTAAAATTATTTCCCCCATTTTCTCTTATAAATCTTCATGATTTCTTTTCTAAGAAAAGTTAACATACAATTCACCTACTCCTAGGATAATGTAATAATGTTAAAATAGATGTTATAACATATTTACATACAGGAGAAAGTGCTTTCCTAATTAACAGGTCTGTCAGGAGAACTCATCAGATAATGGAACATTCTCCAAAGCTGAATAAATATATTACTATTTCACTATATTAGTTGATCCGTTACATAAGTATTAGCATAATGATACCTCATAATAAAAAATATGTTTCAAAACTTAGGTTATTATCATAGTATCATAAGATAGGGGATTTTTATCACAACGGCTCTACAAGATGCCTGAATGATCATCTGTCTTACGCAGCTATAATATTGCAGTCTTCAAACATTAAGTAACTGTAGAAAGAACAGTGAGAATTTCAAAATATCAATTCAACAACTCGTTTTTCCTTCATAGCTTTCAATTTGCAATCTGATACACAAACACATTAATGTACACACTTTTTTTCCCACAGCTACATGAACTCCAGATTCTATTGTTGACTCTCTCTGTGCAGTTAACAATAATTTCTGTCACAATGTACATTTATCAATGTGTTAAACAGAAAGGTGAACTATTTGAACTCACAAGCCAAGGCTTTACCATAAAACATAAATGAAAGAAGCCACTCATCTCCCAGATTTAAATTGCTGAATGGCACTTTGTTTAGCATTATGCAATACATAGGTGTTTTAGTAGTTTACCTGTGCAATTACACAAATACTCTAATTAGTATATTAAAGATAACCTTGAGTTCTGGTAAAAAAAGAAAATTAATTCTCACAGAATCTAACGAAACTTACACTGAATGTTCAATGTTACAAATAAATGTCATGTGCCAAACAATTTTGGAAGAAAATGTATACTGGCTGAGTAATGAGCATAGACAGATAAGGAAATCAGGGTAGTACTAGCCCCAACACCATGTGTGTTGTCCCATACACATCTTTCTGTGTAAGTGATTGTTACTTTACCAAGACTCTGCCAAATTTATGATGATTTTGAAGACTCCAGAACCTTGCATTACACACCATTACTTACATGCTATATGATCAACTTTTCTGATCCATTCCACACCTTTTCTTTCACAATGCAATCACATTACCAGAACTCAAGTTTAGCTTTAAGTGAATGTATTTATGGAGTTGTAAACTTGTCAAACGAACTGAACAAGAACAATTTTCTTTGGCACACTACTGGGCATTCCACAACCTTTTTTGTAAAGATTACATTGACACAGCCCTATGAAGATATGAGTCTATGTTTAGCATCCACACCGTGTAGGACATCGCAGTTCTTATTGCCCCTCTACGTAGTCTATAACTATTGCACAATTCATTTTTGTTGTTCTACACATAAGGTAGCTACTGCACAATGAATGACATCTGTAATCATGTCTTGGATGAACATCATGTCTACATGAACGTCAAAGTCCTTGCATTACTTCTTAATCAACACGAGAACCGCATCAAAACTTTGACAACCAACGCTGCGACAAAGGTGCTTGCATCACATCATTTGCACTAAATGTTCATCATCTACATTTGTACACAGCTCTCCTAGAACATACATGGAGAGTTAGTCATGTTACATCATCTATCTGGGACAGTGTAGATGATTGGCGACGTCGGACAACATCAAACTCTGAAGAGATATGGATGGAATGGTTGAACTCTTCAGTCAAATTCCCACGGATCCACCATGTCCAAAGACTCAAACTTCTCCACTGCTTCTGCTATGTTCCCCACCTCAGAGTTGTCTATTGATGGAATTTTAAAGATGAGGAGATAAAAGCTGATTAGATAATAGGTCAAGCATTACTCACAATATTTTTTTGAGTACTTAAAAGTAATTTGCAATATTATCATCAATATCATCATCATCGTCATTTTTATCACCATCATCATTTGAATCATCATCATCACCACCATCATCATCATCACCATCATCATCATCATCATTTGAATCATCATAATTGTCATCATCATATTGGTCATAATGATCATATTCATCATTCTTTTCAACATCATTATCATCATCAATATCAGCAATATCATCATCATCATCATTTCCATCTTTTATCATCATCCTCATCAACAGACCACTACCACCACCATCATCACTGATCAATCTTGGGATAAGCATCACTAATCCTAAAATACAGATTCATGACATCTACGAGAATTCAAAACCTGGGCCGGTATTCAATTCAATACTTAGACTAAGTAAGAAATTTACTAAGTAGAATGGCTAAGCTAAGAAGTTTACTTATCTCATATTCAAATCAAATCGCATTTTAGACCTTTACTTACCTGAGAAAAAATCTAAGTAAAATGCTTACTGGTAACCATTGTGACATCACACAGTCAAACAAAAGTAATGTGCAATTAATGCGGCGCAAAAATGTGCGCTAATATAATTGTGCGCAGGTTATGATACTGCGTAAGAAAACCATATGCCTGCCAATCAAGGCCTCCAAATAATTGGCTCAAGTCTGGTGGGAGCTGTCTTAAATTTAGGGAAAAATACTTAGCCAAAAGTTTGAATTGAATACCAAAATTGGCTAAGTATTTTATCTAAGCCAAATACTAGGTAAAAAGCTTAAATTTTGTACTTAAGTATTTAATTGAATATGGGCCTACCTGGTGATCATGGTAGCTAACACAAGATTAAATACGAGATAGAAGTTCATTCATGCACACCTATGTACTCACTTTGGTCATCTACTTTGCCCTCTGTCAGCTGAGAGAGAGGGTGGACGGCTTGAAGCATTGGACCAAGGACATCACTGGATGATTTCCGCACTTGCTTGAAGAAGGGATGTTGCAGGAGTTGAGAGGCACTGGGTCTAGAATTTAAAAAATAATTTTTCAGTTAAATGAAAGTACATTCTCATGTCGTTTGCACTTTTCCGCCAAAAAGAAGGCAAATTGTAGGAAAGTGAAAGATTAATTGATTTACTGTATTATTGTTATGTAGTCTACACCCACCTCAGTAATAGTATAGTATTAATGACTGCTTTGAGAGAAATAGTTGTTTTATTACGCTCAAGGGAAGGTTAGAATTGTGCTATTCCCCGAGGCTTGCCGAGGGGAATAGCCCAATTCTAACCTTCCCGAGAGCGTATGAAAACAACTATTTCTCGAATATTAAAGCAGTCATTAATACTTTTATATGCCGAAAAAAAAAATAGACTAAAAAATGAAAAATTAAAAATATTTATCATTTTTGTCGAAGACGGGATTCGAACTCTTGCGTACAACAAGAGGTGTACCGAAAACCAACGCTTAGACCACTCGGCTATGGCCCGCCGTTAATATGCTTGGCAGTTTTCTCCAATATATACATTAAAATGGATTGAAACCGGCTTCGCGTGTGATGAATGCTTCGCAAAAGCTCCATATACGGACTCTTCTTTTACTTTTGCAATGCATATTGGCACGAACTTAGATCAAGATCTATCGGCAGATGTTGTTTTTAATACTAGCAGTCATTAATACTTTTATATGCCGAAAAAAATAGACTAAAAAATGAAAAATTAAAAATATTTATCATTTTTGTCGAAGACGGGATTCGAACTCTTGCGTACAACAAAAGGTGTACCGAAAACCAACGCTTAGACCACTCGGCTATGGCCCGCCGTTAACATGCTTGGCAGTTTTCACCAATATATACATTAAAATGGATTGAAACCGGCTTCGCGTGTGATGAATGCTTCGCAAAAGCTCCATATACGGACTCTTCTTTTACTTTTGCAATGCATATTGGCACGAACTTAGATCAAGATCTATCGGCAGATGTTGTTTTTTTGTTTTTGGAAGTTTATTTTCGTCTTCATGTCAACAATGCAAGATAAAATTGTCGGTAAGATCGATCGAGATTCAATTGTATTGAAATTACCGACCAATCCTTCGCACACATACGGCATCCTCCATCGCTCAAACCATTTTTTAACATGTAAACCTATGGGGTAACCATGGACGCTGACCAACTTTTTTAATAACCATGGTTATTAAAAAATATTGAAATGTTTTATGCATGGTTACCGAGAATTTTACAGGAACAGTTGAAGTTTATGAATGCAATTCGACCAATCAGATGGCTGGATTTCTTAAGTGAGGTATATAATATATGATATCACTCAGTATGCCCCAATTCAGATAAGACCCACCCTGTGATATAGCAGACTCCCTTTTCCAGAACACTTGTTTAATAACTTAATCCCAGCCAAATAAGCCCCAAATTGTATACATCTGATAAGAACCCCCAAACCTCCAAAACAAAAGACTTCCTGTCTCCCTCCCAATAAATAAAGCCCCCTTTGTTTGATAAGACCCTTTCCCAGAACAGATTACATGTGTTAGCTAGATGACCGTGAGGATGAACTTGGGAATATAATGAGGAGTTCAGACCATCACCAAGCTATTACCTAACATCTTGGCTGCTCTACAACTTGTGAAAATATATTGAATCTGGACTATGTGACTCGTTGTTAGAGTTAACCATTGTGACTCGCTGTTTAGAGTTAATAAATTATATACTCTCCTATATTACTCTTAAAATACAAGTCTCACCATCTCTTTATGTATGTACCTTTCGATATTGCAATAACTACACAGACATACCGATCCCCAACACAACATTATGTACATTACTACAGCCTATTAAAAAGTATCTTGTCAGTGTGTAATAAAATTGATAATAAAGCAATGCTATTTTGAAAGACATATATCTGTTTTCAATCAATAATAAATACAAGGCTCTTGCATGTTAGGCGAAAAGACCCCCTCTTTCAAATCTCATCTCTCCATATCTTCAGAGACAAGACCAATTCTACAAGCACCTTATATCCTTTTTATGAAACATACCTTGACATTTCTTGGTCTATGCATGTATTTCTATGACAAATTGTTCCACATTAAAGGGATCTGGTAACTTTGTCTTAGATCCTTAAAAAAATCCTTGATTTAGCTTATGCTGCAATGATAAGTATAAACCTTTAGGACAGTCAGGTATCACATGACTTTTACAAGCCGATCACCTGTCTGATTATCAAGCTATTTATGATTGAAAATCGAAATCAAAGTTTGTGATTGCCAAACGGTTTTCATAACACTAGTCTATTGGGGAAAATGAGTAGATTTTTTACTTATTTGAGGCACTTCGTGATCATTTTGAAGCGCAGTTTTTTTAGGGCTTCAATATTACACCATATCGAGGACTCTGATAATACGTAGGGCCATGCATCTCAGAGTTAACATTATTAAACAATGCCTTTAAGAAACACAAGTCAAGAATATTATTGCTTTACCTATCCACGGGATCTCTTCTGAGACAGACTTCCATGAAATCATGAAAATGAGTTGAGAACCTCCTCTGGTAGGGATCTGGAACGTTGGCTAGCCCCGTGCTTCCACCGATGCCACTGTCCACCCTCAAGCCTGTATCCTGAGGCTGAACCCCATCAACATCACACAGAGTAGAGCAGTCCAGGAGCTTGGGGGTCGTACCATTGATCTTCTCAAGTAACATCTATGGTAAATACAAATTAAAACATATTTCAGTAAACTTGTGGATGCATACAGGTGACCATATGCAACCACTCAAATACAACAGTACCTTTGTCTGAAAAGCTTTGCAGGGTACAATATCACACTCTATTTACATTAAAATATATCGAATATATGTTTGTATTCATCCGACACATGGATGTTTCGACACTATTTTCCCAAATTGTAATAGTAAAGTCAGGCTATTAACAGGATGTTCAGCAGATACCCTGACAAAAAGCTGAATACCTGATTGAAAGACGAAGTACTGCTTTTTAAATGAAGGGTCATAAAAAAGAGCCTGTGATGATTTTGCAGTTAACTTCACGGAAAAGGGAAAAAAATCACATCAGACTACTCTAAATATAATTATATCAAATATGTTTTATACAACCACTGTAGGAAACATGTCTATTCTGTCATCAATAACTAAGATTATGAAAGTTTATGAAATTTTCTGTACAGTGCAGAAGGAGCTCACAAGATACGTCACAGTGTTGTGAATTTGTGTTTTACTGATGACAACTTAAAAAATTCATAACTTTCCTATTTCTGATATTGCTCAAACTTTCACTAATTTGTTTATCTCTCAATTTTCTGCTTTTATTAAAACCAAGGGTGGACCTCCCCATTAAATGTCAAATCCATTACCAAAACAAGAGCTAATTATTCTTTTTGTGTAAAAAATAAGAAACTCTGATGTAAAAGAGAATTTACCTTCATTGGTACCATGTCTGAGAAAGGAACACACCCGTTGGACAGCTCACATGCAGTGATACCAACACTGTAGATGTCTGACTTGGCATCATAACCAAGAAGATTCTGTGTGTAAGATGGACGGGACAGACAATCAATCAAAATGTAAGCCACATAGTAGGTAAACATGTTAGGCAGGAATGTGAGAATGATGTAAACAAGAATAAATATTCAAACACTTTGAAATAAAAGATAATGAAATATACACAAACAAAGGTGATTTAATGGCAACTTAGGTAATCACTAAAATTCTTTTCAAATATTTTCTCTTTGCATAATTATAATAATGGTAGGTAGTTGGTACTAGGTAGAAAGCAAATTAAATTAAAGCTTTTTTTAACTTGTGAAATACACAGCAAAAAGCAGTGGTACATCAGTAGTTACCACTCAACTGACTTGAGGTTTAAATACATCTACAGTAGGATGCCAAAGACGGAGCAAACAGTCAAATACTTTTTGATGATAATAGTATTTAACATGTTTGGAGAAACAAAAGACATAATTCCAATTTAATTTCTATGACTCCTTTATCCTACTGTCTGGCAAAATGTAATTAAATTTAACTCTCTCTGAAGACGATAGGTACAACCTATTGAAACATTGGGATAGAGCACGATGGACCCTGAACAGACCCATCAAAAGAATACATGGTGTAACCGCAAACTTCGCTCAAATTTCACTCTGGTTGTATCTCCTCAATACAAGAATCTGAGTTTAATAACATAACTGAGTTAAGCAACTGTACCTGTTCCAGAACTTCTGTTGCCAGCCATGGCAAGTTCCTGACTGCGTTCCTGGTAGGGAAATCAAATACTGCTTTGAGCCGTTTGCCCTCTTCCACCATACTGACTGCTGTTCTAAGACCGGATAGATGAACTCCACCGGATTGTGTGAGCAGGATGTGACTGGCCTTAACACTCCTGGTATTGACATGAAAGGATAATGTAGATAGAGTGAATTCATTTGTGTTGCAAGGCAAGGCATGGGTTTGTGAAACTGTCAAATATACAAGCTTTGTGATGTGCAAGTGAACGCATGTACTCAAATTCAAATGCATTTCATTGAGATGTCGGCTAACTTGTACTTATGGCGAACTAACAATTTAAAAGTTTGACATATTCAAAGTTACAGTGATTAGTACGACCATTAGAATAATTGATATGCACCTCGACAATTCATTCAGTGACTTTACACAAAATTTCTTCAGAGTCAAAATTACAACCAGATTCTGAACTACTCTTCACAATAGAAGGTATTCAAATTCCCACTTGTTCAAAAATGCTGGGGATCTTTTTCACAACATTACGGCTTATGGCTATAGGACAATCTACATCGTAATAAATTCAAGAAGAAATTTGTATAGGAAAAGAAAAGAACATTTACTTCATACATACTGATTACATGGATGATACCAGTGGAAAATTATACATTTATACCGGCCCTGAGCTCTACCCACCTATGGATAAAGCCCATCCGATGAAGGTAGTCTAGAGCCAGAACAACATCTCTCATGATCTGTGCTATCACACTCTCCTTCAAACCATCGGGGCAGTTCCTATCTAGTAAATCCCTAGCAGAACCTATCAATGAGAAATGAAGTAAAGAATTAGGAGACAGGAAGAAATATTTGATACAAAATTGACTCATGTATACTCATGTATACAAAAAGAAAATGCTGCAAGGTGTCTAGTATAAATTTGCTTGTCTCTGTTTTTATTTCTCCACAAGGGCTCCACATTAGCTTTTCTCTGGGGGTTCAGAGCACAATATTGGGGTCCATGTGCTCCACAACCTTGTCAATACATTGAGACTTGGGGTATAGACTGGGTTTTGGGGACTGTGTGTACCACATTCTTGTTAGTGAAACAATGTGACATTTCTTGCAAGGTCCTCTCCAATTTCCTCTGTACATAAAATGTAATAAACTGTCATTCTCTTAGTTATTGATGACAGAGTAGATTTTATTTCATACAGAGGTCGTATAAAAACATATTTGCAATAATTACATTTAGGGTGCATGTATGATTGAAACTTTCTGTCAAGAAAATGGAAAGTTCAGATTTTTAGCTGAAGGGTCTACGTGAGATACGAGTTGCCAATTTGAGTTTGATTGAAAGCAACTGCATACCTTTCTTATTTTTAATCAAATTTTGCTCCACCTTTCACTAACCGGTTCTTATTTTCCTACTTCTTTTAAAACCAACACTCCAATATCAGGGTGGACTTTCCCTTTAATGTCAAGCTAATGCTTGCTTGGTAAGTCATTTCTTGCTCTTGCTCTTAGCCTATACCAAAGTGATAAGTTTGTATGTTGGAGGAGAATATTTGTGAATAGATAGATGACTTTCTTACCATGTTCCATAAGAGGCATGACCACCCATAGTTCATTGGCATTCACAAATGATGTGTAGTGTGGTAGGATGTGTTCATGTTGCATCAGCTTGGAGAAATTGCATTCTTGCTGCATGGAAGGATGTGAAAAGAAAAAAAGCGTTGTTTCATACTTCAAACATCATAAATCAATATTCAGCGCATTAAAGATTATTCTGCAGGCAGATGTGCAGATAAAGATCTCAATCATAGATTACTGAGACTGCATCTACCGGTATTAGGAATCTAAACTAGGCATATAGACTATGCCAAGTGTTTAATAGCATTGCCCCTTTTGTGCCACAATGAAATGAAATTATCTGTGTGTGACTTAGTTTCACTTTAACCTATTATAATCTAAACATGGCTGTGACGATTTTAGAGTTTGTATACTTCCATGTCTGAATTAAATAAGTCAGCCACAATACAAGTGAACTGGTACACATGTCTTAGTGTTATACACTGTCAGGAGTGCAAGATCACTACAACAGTTTCATGAAGTAGTATCCATTTTGTAGGTGTAGCCTCATATATTTTGGTATATTATGAATCCTAAACAAAAATTAAACAGAGGTGTTTGAATCAAGCAAATGCCTGAATGTTGGCATCCCTGTGTCTAAATGTTTAAGTACTTGCATTCAATCATTATAACCATTATTATAACTTACATGAAGTTCAACAAAACTGTCTTTAACTTTGTCTAGGTTGATTCTTCTGACTGCCACCAGATTATCTGAAGAAACATGTCTAGCAATATGGACAACAGCATTACCCTCAAAGTTACGTCCTGCAAAATAAAACAAAAATATTGTTACTGAAATGATTAAATGAAGGGAGATATTTCAGAAAGAATTATAAGTGAAGTCCCACTTTATTGTTACATTTATATTAGATATTTTGAATTGTTAAATTTCCCACACAATTTGATTCATGAAAGCTGTAAATTGTGTAAAATAAAAAAAGGCTCTCACATTAAATATATATAGATGTAGGCTACCTATTATCAAGTTTTTTCTACTTTCATTATTTGTATTACTTACCAATTAGAGTCAGAAGTGTGTAGTGCCTAGCATCCCCTTCATATTGTACATCAGCCATTTTGTCCTGTTTACTAAAAAAAAAATCATTGAGAGAGGGAGAGAAGGAAATGAAGACATTACATTTTGTTCAATCCAAATCTTGAATCTTGTTTCCAGGACCCAACAACAAATAGAGACAAGTTTACCAAATTGTTATTTACCGGTATGTCTTTATTGCTCGTAAACTGCAGCTAAATTAGCACAGCACTGCAAAGTTATACTCTACAAACGATTTCTTCCATTCATCCAATGTAGAAGGTTATAACCTTGAAATCCATTAGTTCTGTCATTGCTTATAATTGGAAGATACAGATTCACTGAGTATTATCTGCATAGTCTATACTATAGACTTGCATGTGACAAAGGACGTTGTCAAAGACCAAACCAGTACATCAACTACTCTGCCAGGACCGATCACAAGAACAGTTTCTATCCTCGTACCATTAAGCAATGGAATCAACTACCAGCCACCATCATCAAAGCTCAGATCCTCGTTAAATTCATGCAAGTAATTCACATCATGAATTGATGATGTTCATTACGGTCACTAACTTCGCGCATGCGCGCTCACACCCCGACCTTCTGTCGGTATGTAATTGTATTGTGCAGCAGTTTGCCGTGAAACCTGTTAGAAAGTGCATAGACCTACTAATAATTGTTTTTAGGAAAGATACCCAATAGTTGATACCGGTATAGAAAAATTGACACAAAACAGGTAAGAAAGATAACAACTTTTAAATCATGACCATTATTTGAACAATAGTGGAAGATTTAGATGATTTTTGGTGTGTTATAGAAAGGTATCTCCACGCTGGAGTCACAGGTCCAAAATGGTCACAGTTGTGAACAAGCACCCAAAGACTTGGGTTCCTACATGTACATTCTGAATCATGCAAATGCTAATTTTAATTTTTATGGGTTATGTATGTGCAAAACATGGTATGGATCGAGTTTTGAGAATCAATAGAGAATGTCTTGAAACAAAAGAACGGTAATGCTGCTATGAGTGAATCAAAATCATGTTTCGCATGCCTATCATTTGAATGGGCAGAGACTGAGATTGAGACAAGACCGAGAGAGAATGAGTCGAGTGCAGTGTTTTCCTGTTTCAGAATAGGGTCAACGTCAGGGATAATGCCCATTTAATGCACTATGGCCTGGCATGCCATACAATAACCAAAGCAATAACCAAAGCAAGTGTGCAGTTATTCACCTGGGTAGAAACAACAGAAAGGACAATTACCACATGAAAGGAGAAGAAGTCAAGATATCCACTCTTGAAAAAGACCTGGGTGTACAAGTAGATGTCGAACTTAAGTTCCATGAACATGTATCTATGGCAGTAAACAAAGCATACCAACTCCTCGGAATAATACGACGTACCTTCACCAGGCTGGACACTAAGACTCTACCCCTCCTATTCAAGACATTAGTAAGACCACACTTGGAATATGGTAACATCCTATGGCACTCACGCTGGAAGGAAGATGGCTACAAAGTTGAAAGGGTCCAGAGGAGAGCGACAAAGATGATGCCAGAGACGAGAGAACTTCCATACACAGACAGGCTAAAGATTTTAGACCTACACTCCTTGTACTATAGGAGACGGAGAGGCGATGCCATTACAGTTTTCAAAATACTAAAGGGCTTAGTAAAGCTGGACCCAAGTCACTTCTTCACCTTATCACTGAATAGGGTCTACTCAAACCCGAGGGCACTCTCTAAAAATTTTCAAGGAAAGGTCTCGTCTAAACATAAGGAAATGCTTTTTCAGCAACAGAGTGGTGTCCGACTGGAATAGTCTCCCTCAAGAAATAATTGACTCAAACTCCATTGATATCTTCAAGATGAGACTGGATAAGCACTGGTGGTCTGAGCGATTTGAATTAAGTTAATGATATGATCAAAACCGTCCTAAACCTGCGCATGTGCAATGAGTTAACCTCTAGAACATAACCAACCCTGAAGAAGTGACCGAGGATTACAGGATCTAGATCTACCTCTCCTCGTATCATGATGATGATGATGATGATGATGAATATTTGGTCAAATCGAAATTAAACAAAGCATTCTCTCATTACTTTGTATCTTTTTGATAATGATAACTCCTTTCAAAGCAAAGATTAACAATAACAAACCGGTCTGACAAACAGCTCCACTCTTAGTCTTATTAGTTGTCCCACTTGCTATTTTCTGCGTCATGTTTGTCAGACTTTGGAAAATACCAATGACAAAATTAATAGGTAAAACGAACGAATCGAATGTACATTGAACATTATATTACTTACCAAAATATCGATGTAGTACAATGACAAAATTCTGATGCAACTCTTTCAAAGTAAATGGTAATATAGGAGAAAAACTAATGATGAATTCGCAGCCTTCCTGATTCGCAAAAACGTAAACAAAGCAGGCGTCGATCCCAATTCGATCACCACAATCGCACACTCACACGCATTATCGATACTTGATATTTGTTTGTTGCGGGGTTTGTTGTTATTTTCCAGGAATTAGCTCTCTGACTCTCTCTCCTATTTTTCTCACATACACTCTCTCACACTCTCACTATTTCCTCTCTCTCGTCTTTGGCCTAGGCCTCCCTCAAATCCGCCCTCTTCTCCCGCTCCGTCCCCCCATGATCCCTCTCTCTTTCTCTCCGAAGCTCCGCGCTCCCTAAGGCGAGATGAAGTTGATGGGGGTTTGGGCGCGAAAAGGGGGTGGGGCGAGATCTGGGCATTTTTTTATTGCTATCCACCGGAAAGGGGAGGGGGAGGGGATGGTTAAGGGGTGGGGGAGGGGGTTGTGGGATAGAGCCATCTCAAGTCAGCCGAGAAATTAAAAAAGAATGAAAATTGGGTCCTTGGGCCATGCAAAGTTTTGGGTGGATCCTAGCTGATGTCTACCGGGGGAGTACGAAGTTGAGGGGGCGTGGGCATGCAGGGAGAGATGGAGCAGGTTTTGGGCGGTTCATTATAAAATTTGCTACTTTCCGGGAAGTTTATGGGAAGTAGCCATCTCAAGTCAGGCGGGATATATATTTTTTTTAAATGAAAATTTTATATTGTGAAAGACATTTGAATAGGGGCTTATATTCGTCTGCATATTTTCGGAGTCAGCTGGTGCTCAACAGGCTTGGGTGGGGGGGGGGGGGGGGGGGCGGGGGGGGGGTAGGCGGAGGGGGAAAGTGCTCCATTAATTTTGTTTTTGTTTATTCAGTTACGTTGTACCTTTTGATATATTGGATGCTATTTCACATACCTTCAAGACTGCCGAGCTACGAATCATTTACTGCTTCTTGTCCTAAAACACCGGCTTCTGGACTGTATCCGAGATTCCCCTCTTGCCAGTTTTAAAACGATATTTTTACCCGAGTTTTTGCCACCCTTTTTAATTAGTGTCATGCGTACAGCCCTATCCAAGCATCTTGCAGTCTGTAAACTACTTTTAAAATAGTATGCAAACAATGATAGCCAGCCATTCACTTGTCATATGAAAGGGCTTACAATTAACATGCATGAGGAAATACCAAAATGTTCTATTAAAAGCATGCAACCGTATCAATGAAATTAGAGGACATTGTAATACGGGCAAATAGCTGGTCTGCATTACCGAGAAGAAACAAGGGCTCGCGAGCTTGGGCATATAGCTCCATTTAGGTATTTATTTCTCTTTCTTTCTTTCTACAATATTCTGACAGGATTGGATGCTCTGTTTCAATCAAGAATGCCGAGCCACGAATTATCTATACTACGCCTCGTTCTTTCTTTCTCCCGGCCCCCCACTCCGAGAACGGACGGACCCCATGCGTGTTGCCAAAATGTCCTTTTCGTAACAAAAGTAAAAGGTCGAGCCGTATTGACTTTACCCACCGGACTTTTGCTGAAAAAAGGGGGGGGGGGGGTGCTGAAAAAGGCTCGTATACAAAAGAAAAAGGTCGAGCCGTATTGACTTTACACACCGGACTTTTGCTGGAAAGGGGGGGGGGGTCGGTTGGAACACGCATATGCGTACCCTAAATAACACTGAGTGGGGGGGGGGGGGGGCGGGTTCTTTCTTTCTTACATTATTGTTTCTTTTGCTGCCCAGGACACGCTAGTGGTAACTATTTAGTTAGTACAATTTGCATAAATACCAAATAGAGAGACATTCAGAATATGTTATTTATTATTCACCATGTTATGAAGCCATTAAACATGGAGCGACATGGAGCTGTCACTTTGGCTCTTCACACGGCCTCCTTGCTCAATATACACCCTAACGATAGCACGGACTGCAGAACTTTTTATATTTTTCAAATGTTGAGAAGAGTGTGGAAGCTTCATGAGACATGACAAAGAGATATTTTTTATACACCTTTTCCCTTTCAAACAATGTGGGGGGGGGGGGTATTTTACCACACCCTTTGATAGATGGAAGCATCGTCAGCTCGCATGCGGTACATCTATTCATCAATGTAAAAGACCATTTACAAGGGTATTTCCAAACGTATTGAATTCAAACCCGACGTTGGGTTACAGCATTTTTGTTGAAATCGATACCAACCGTAACCAACGCCAACATCAAGCATGTTCAAGTCCATTGATACAATAATGGTATTTGCACCTGTAATTTCTTTATCTTATTACGTTTATTCTGCCTCTCTCTCTCTCTCTCTCTCTCTCTTCTCGATCAGATATAGACCTGGGAGCTGTTGATGACGTTGAGCGGGTGATACCTCGATGCAGAGCTAATGTGTTACGGGGTATGTTTCTAATACATTATCAAGCATAATAATTACTGACACACTTTGAACTCTCCATGATGAAGCAGTTAATTGCCGTTGCGTTATACAAACAGTTTCGGACAAGGAAATTAACCTCGTATATACTTGATTACTAAATAAGAGCACGGTTTACTAGACCACCACAATATTTTTGACTTAATTTCATGAGCATCATTCATTTATTCACGCCCCAAAGGATTCCGACACATAACGTGAGCAGCAAACGCCAATTTTATTGTTGAGAGTGTGCGGTTGAATTCTTGTAACGTGTTTGAATTTATAGGCCTTTGGAGAATTGACATTCATTTCTTCTTGCTCTAGCTCTGCTATGGGCCTGGGAGCTGTTTGATCAGTTGTTCACGGTGCAGAGCTAGATAATACAAACAGTTTCAGACAAGGATATTAACCTCGTATACTTGATTACTATGAGAGCACGGTTTTTGCTGTAGAGTGCTAGACAATCATATTCTTGACTTCATTTCCTGAGCATCTTTCATATTCACGTCCCAAGGTTTCCGACACATAACGTGAGTATATATGCGACTGTCAATTTCCTGGTTGAGAGTATATGCATGGGCTTATTTGAAAGTCTGTGATTGAATTCTTGTAATGTGTTAACGACACACGTCTTGATGCATGAAGAAATCTGTAAAGGTTCGAGGGATTGAGATCGTGAAGAGTCAAAGAGTCAGAGAGTAGAGAGAGAGAGATGGAGGGAAAACGTAAAAGGGGAGAGGGGACGATAGAGAAATGATGAAAGTTTAATGTCAACATTCATTTTGAATTCAAAGTTTAGTATTGGTAGGACCAAAGAGATACCACAAACTGGTATCTCTTTGGTAGGACGAACGAATCTCCGACGCGCTGGTTATCGAGAACAGAGTGATGAAGCCTGATTCAAATAAACAAAATGACAAGGGAACCAATATATATCAACTCTTTTATAATAATCAATGTTTTGGGGGATTGACCTCTGATAGGTCGAAAAATGTATTGCCCTTTTAATCCCACATTTTGTTGTGTATTACTTCTTTTTAAACCATTAATTGTCTAAACCAGTTTTTTTAAATTGCTTGTTAATAATTGTTTGATTGTTCGTGATTTTTTTTTAAAGTGTAGATAATAAGATTGAACTTGAACTTGGAATCAAGGCTCCATTATTGGAATAAAAGTCGGACTTCTAATGGTTCACTGATATTCATGGTTCTTCATAATTTTCTCTTGAACGAAAGCCATTACAGAGAGTTGTATTTACCTTTCTTGGGGAAAAAGACATCGGTGCCTACAATCCTATCCCATAATATTCTCTTGTCATCCATTTCAGTTGAAATGTTATTGTCAAGCTGAGACATAATTGATCATCTTACGTTTTAAGTTATCATTTGGTCCCATCTTATCTATCCGGGCATCGAACCCTTTCCCGCCTCATATTACTCCCACTTGACATCATGGTCATATACGTGCTGAATTATATACTGTAAGGGCGAAGCAGGAACTCGATAAGGAAATGGTACGATCATATTTTGATTTCATGAGCTGATCGCTACTCGGGGCTCAAAGGTCATAATATTCCATAACGATGTTCCAGTTCAAGTTCGCCTCGCTCAATACACAGTCGTCATCGTCATGCATGTAAAAGAAGAGCCACACAAAATGAGTTTCTATTCATGCAATACCACAATGGTTGTCATGGTAGCTGAAAGCTGCTTGGCAACAAAATACATTAGGTGGGGTTATTATTTTGTAAAACGTACTCCTGCAAAAATTCATCAACAATTAAGAAAGATGATTAATCATCATGAAGCGCACATGGACATTGTGAAAAGTAGCATCCCTAATTCCATGTCAGAAAGCCATATTGACATAGTTATCATTCGGAACCACACGTACAGGGGTGGGTGGCCATTATGATTCGATACACGTCCGAAGAGCATGCATACATTGGTTATTGAAAATCCATAAATCATTAACCTCTGAAAGGATCGTATTTCTCATACATCAAGAGTAAGTATACATGGATTATTTTATCCGGATATTTGCGACATTGCGAGGTATCTCTGTGTCAATTTCGGCCCTGTGTGGCATTTGAGCGAGTCATTTATGAATTGGAAAAGTACAGCGCATGAGACACTATCGTAATAATAATGATAGTGTCAAGTGCTATTCATTTTAAAAACGAAACTTCTGTCATAATTTGAATAGGCGCTATAAAAGCAACAACCCAGTAGACGAACGGCCTTGCACAAAACCAACAATGTTGGTCTAGTGGCATAATATCTTTTCTAACAGTTCACGAAACCCTGACAATGCCGGTCTCGCGATTCTTTTTTAACATGATTGTTTTGTATCTTTTCGTAATATTCACGAGACCAATCGACGCACTGATTGTCGGTATTGTTGGTCTTCGGATTTTCCCATGATAATTTACTCACGATTGTTTAGTCCATTCAAACATTCTCTTGACTGTTTCTCTACAAAAGACTTCGAATTCATTTGTAATCATCATGCGGACAGCAAGAGATCTTCCGTCAAATGGCACTACATCAGCAGACCCCGCCGATTCGACCCTTCGAAACCGCTCTAGCGAGTCGACATTCTCATCTGCCATCTTCACCTGGGATGAGATTCGAACCCATGTCCTGCCAGAAGACAAGTGGTTGGTGATAGACGGTGACGTGTATGATATCAGCAAATGGTCAAGAAGACATCCGGGTGGAAAGGCTATCATCAGTCACTACGCAGGACAAGATGCTTCGGTAGGTATACTTTTTTGGGGGGGGGGGGCGGATGCTCATATTAATGGCTACCAATGGCGTAATGAGCAAAGACATTTTTTGGGGGCAGAAAGAAAAAAAACGGAAAATCATGTCATTTCAACAACATT